ATGGGCTTTGTCTGTTTGACCAGGCGCTCACTGACATACAGTGGAGGAAATAAGTATTTGATCCCTTGCAGATGTTGTAAGTTTGCTCACTTACAAATAAATTAACAGTCTATAATTGTAATGGTAGGTTTATTTTATCAGTGAGAGTAAGAATATCAAAAATAAAATCCAGAAATTGACATTATATAAAATATACCATTTTTGATATGCATTTAACTGTGGGAAATAAGTATTTGATCCTTGCAAAACATGTCTTAGTACTCGGTGGAGAAACCCTTGTTGGACAGACAGAGGTCAGACGCTTCTTGAAGTTGGTCTTGGTCCTGAAGATCTGTGTGTATGATACCTTTAACTTATTGTAAGTAACACTGGTACGTCACTAACTTTGGTTCATAAACTAATGTTTAGCACTACAGAGAAATACCAGGAATGCACCTCCACTCTAACTCTAACGCAAGGTGTTGCAGAGGCGCCGGGCAGGAAGTGGAAAGGTGACAGCATCCGGCCCATCCCCAAAATAAACGAATTTTTCAGACCCTATCCCTCCGTAGTCTTTCAAGTAGGAGGAGAAATGCCAGCGCTCTCCTCCGGTTTACAGGCACTGTGTAAATTATATATATAGAATAATTATGATGATGAATGCATTTTTTTACCACTAAAATACAGCAACAAATCTTTGATTCATGTCGTTTATAACTGGAGTATTACAATTATTATTAACTTTGTCTGTACAAAGTAGCCTTTGCAGTAAATATGCCCAAATCAACAAAAACTGCGAGCCGGCAGGCAAGACGCTCCGCTTCTGAAACGCGCCCGGGAGGGTATGACGCCGGAGGAGGCCGGACCAAAACCGCGGCGCAGCCGTGACGCGACGCAGACAGATCCGGTGGAATCGAGGGGTAACGGCCCGTCCACACAGCGGCGTGCGTTGAAGCTTCAATGCTTCTGCCCATTCACTTTGAATGGGGTGACGTCACGCTTTGCCGAACTGCATTGTGGTTCCGTCGCTTCGCTCTGCTCGCTTCAAAAGTTGAGCAATGTTCAACTTTTGAAGCTTCGAAGGAAGCGTCAGCCAATCAAATCACATGCCAGTACAAGCTCTAGCCAATCAAACCGTGTGCTTGTGTGTCCGGGGCGGTTGATTCATGTGATTGGTTGTTGGTCGAGTTTCAGACACGCCCTCCAGCGAGCTTCAACGCACGCCGCCGTGTGGACGCGGCATAAGGGCCTACCTACATGTGAAACATATTTTTAAAAAAAAGCTATTATTGGGTTATTTCCAGTTTGCTAATAGTTGTGCTGATCCCTGTCGTTTTTCTTATCTTCAGAATGTGGATGCCCTTCTTCGGTGTCCTATTTGTTTTGACTTTCTCAACATTTCAATGATGACGAAATGCTCTCACAACTGTAAGTAAAAAGTTGTAGCTATGGTACTATGATAAGAAGCAAACCACTGAGAACATGAATGTAAGACCATTGACTGACTTTTTGAAGATTTAAAATGGTTCAAGTTTATTTTAAATGGGTGTATCTTTGCTTGCACATAGATGCTTAGAATGTACATGCCTTTTTATTCCAGAATTTAGCATTAGTCAAATATGAGAGCTCTATTAGGCTGGAGGTACTCAAATGAGCAGCTATGATAAAACCACACTAGACCCTCCTCTTATGAGTATTGAATACAATTGTGCCCTACAGAGAGCTTTTTTTATGTGTATTGTAAACATTATATTGTATAACAAGAATTGTCACTAAATACCAACTTTTGATTAAAGTAAATACATTCTCTACCTGATGTCTAACGGACTAATTCTTAACACACTGTATTTTTGCATTTCATTTTACAGTTTGCTCCTTATGCATCAGAAAGTTTCTTTGCTTTAAGATGCAGTGTCCTGTTTGCAATGCAGTAAGTATGAACTTGACTGGAGTGCGTTATTATTATGCCTCAAATACATTTGCATAGTCATCATGGTCGTTCCCTTGATGAAAGATTACAGATAATCACCTGTAATCAATTGTATGAAATTGATAAATGACACAAATCCTTATTTACTTGCTTCTTCTTCTCCTTTCAGCAAGCAACAGAGCAAGATCTAAGAACCAACCGTTTATTGGACGAGCTGGTTGTTAACTTCCAGGCTGCAAGGTAACCATACAACACATTATAAAAGGACACCAGTAAGCTGTCTGTAAATACACAGAGTGTACCCTGCATCATTGGTAGCCAGTTTTTCAAAACAGTAAAGCCTGTTTTGGTTTTGTTTAACAGTATTGTTTGGTGTCCACATAAAAGATACGCAAACATTAATAAATTATGCTTGGGTCACTAAATTACCTTTTTTGGCACTTTAATTATCTTTAAGCACTGTTACATCCAACTGTTTGTTTGGCGTTTTGCACACAAGCTCAGATAGAAAACAAGGATATAAGCAATTCCTGTTGTTAATACCATCTACAGCAAACAATAGTTCTTACAGTTATTGTTAATATTTGCCCTCAGAGGTGGATCAACAGAATAATAGAAATGGCACAGCAGGAAATACAACTTACTCTACAATTCATGAAAAACCTCTTCCCCATGAACACAGGTGCACCGCCTGAGCGTCCCTCTGGTCTATATCGTCATGGTTCATAGGACTGAAGAGAGAAACGATTACTCTGGTGATTTCAGGGGATCTCATTGTTATTGAAAAGATTACAATATGTCCACAAGGGAACCAATTTCTTTTTATTGCAATTTACCAGCATTAGAGAAACACTTATAATTGCCTTCCAAAAATCCTCTTCAGATTTAGGGATTTTCTATAAATCAAATGGGGATTTTGTTTTCATCAGCTGAGGTCACTAAAGCTTGTCCTTGTATTGCTCTTCTGTGTGCTGTGTAGCACTCGGTCTGATATTCTTTCATTACAGCAGGATGTAGGCATAGGAAGCGGTGTCCTGAGCTGGTCAAAGAAAATGTCTTTGAATTTGAGTTGTTTTCTTTCCATTGACACTGCGTAGGGAATCATTTCCTTTAACTTGATCACATGGTGGCAACTAGGCACTTGCTTGCACTCATTGGTTTGTCTTAGGCAGACTGATACATTTTGGTTCAAGTTGATAAATGAGATTAATTATCCCTGCTAGTTTGGGATCCTAACATCTTTCTCTTCCTATCATTCACACTCTGTATCACTGTTAGTCTCATACTTTCTGTATCAATTAAGACATACAAATACAAGAGTAAACCAGAAGTAAAACACATAAACATCTCCTTAAAAATGTCTTCTTTGCTTTAGTCTAGCTATTTCAGGAACAGAAAACATTTTATAAACATACCTTTTATGGGCAATCCCTGTTTAAGGTGGACTTTTTGCACCTGCCATGTCAAATAGATGATAGTAAACCTCCTTGACTTAACTGGCTCATTTTCTGTTCATCAGTTGACATTGATCCTGGAAAAAAATCAGCCAAATAATTTCTTCAAGTGCTGTTATAAGTCAGTAAGCTTGTCCCTTCTATCATTCACCTCAATGTTATAATCAACACTCTGAAGGTCTCCGTTCAAACTGTAGACTTTCTGATTGTTATCACTGTTATGAATGAGTAGCTAACGGATTTTAATTTCCTGTTCCTGTCTAGCTTTGAGCGCCTGAAAAGATGGTTTTCCTTGTTGGGTGATTTTGTCATTGAGCATTGTTGTCTCAAACATACTTGTTTAGGAAAAGTTCATTTGCTAAATATATTACAATTTAAAACCTTTTTTCATAGATTTTTATGAAACTCTTCATGAGATGTTTGACCTGTGTAAAAATGTGCCTGTACAGAATCATACAGGAAAAAAATATTTAGATAACCCCAGCATCTGTCAATACAGTTGCCATGTTTCCTGATGTTGGTTCAAAGGGTTTGTGGATTTTTTCTTTCATTGGGCCACTAAACCTTCTCACCGTAAAACATTCTGGAAGCTGTTTGCTAACGGCACTAATTTACTGCCATTAAACTAGAGGCCAATTTCTTGAATCAAGTGTTTAGCTCTTACTGCACTGCTACACATTAATGCATATAACTGCAGTACCCAATTACCTTGCAGTTTCTCCTCATTCAGTGAATCTATTTACAGGGATATAAATGGACTTCTCAAAAGATGCAGTCTATTTCAGTTGAATCTTTCTTAATTTGTACCTATGTTTTCATATAATTGTCATAGTATTACCGTTTGTTTTAAATTAAATAATTCACTTCAATAGAGTTGAATTAATAGTGATATATTGTAATAAATGTGGACAAAGTGATCATAGAATGAGATTGGCAATCCACAGAGGCCACCCAAAGGACTGGGGTCAATACGATTGTGTGTGTAAGTCACTAACTCCAAAAGTGCTATGGTAGCTATTCTTGCTCCCAGTCCCAATTATAAAAGATTATTCTTCACATTATAGAGGCAATCAATGTCTGGGAACAATTTTAGGTTCAATTAGAGTATGTAAATGAAGTAGATGCTATTGACTTTCTTGCTCTTTTGTTCACTACAGGCCTGGACCTGTATGATCAATGAGACATCAAACTAAAGGCTTAGTCTTCGGCTTCCTTTCTCTTAAACAGTATCCCGCTCAAATAGTGAATATTGATGTGTTTCCAAAGGTGAAAACTTCAATAAGGAGAGAAAAGTTTTCTTTTGATATAACGATATATATTTATTGCCGGGAATAGACAGATGCATGTAATGGTGTTTGGCGATTAGACCCCGTTCGGGAGGGGGAAAAACCGAACAGATGAATCCCCCTGGAGGCTAGGTAGTGGAGGCATGAAGGGATCGATGGAGGTCGGTCTGAAGAGGAGTGGTTTATCTTGACCCTGGATTTGGAAGAAAGGAAGGTGGAAGGGGTGGAGGAGGCCTGCGTTGAGTCGTCTGAAATTACAACTGTGAGGAAGGGGAGAGAGCAGATTTAAAGGTTTAGCAATGCACTGTGATAGGCTTGTGGGAATAGAGGCAAAGTGATTTAGCTGGGGAGTGACGCCCCCGATCACTGATTGAGAGAAGGATGGGTATCGTTAGGATTTTATCGATACCGGTACCAGTACCGGTACTGCTTATCGGTATCGGTATTTTTCGATACTCTTATCGATACTTTTCAATAATTTGGTGTTAATAAACTAAAAAAAGACAAGGCGATGTGCCTGCAAGACTGCACCCAGGTAAACAAAACATATTACCCGTGCGCAGCAGCTAACCTGCCTGCGAGCCTTCGCTCAGGTCACATTTACACACGGCGCGGCTGAAGCCAACTAGCACTAATAGCACTAGCAGTATCGCTGCACCGTTTTAGATTCAATGAGTGTCTCGGTTGCAAATGCTTCATTAAGTTGCTTGTGTCACCCCCTTTACAAGCAACTAATTGAGTACATAGATTGCACCTTGCACTATCGCCAATACATTTTTTTTAAAGTGCACCCAGACCTTGGATCGCTTCGCTCTTTCCGCCATGCCTGCGGGAGTCTCACAACAATAATAAGAGCGCTGTTGAGAGAGATGAGGAGTGGCATTTACAGTGGCCAATCAGAGGGGTCTCAAACCAGATACATCACACGGGATGAGGGTTCCCAACCAACCAGAATGGTTTAAAGTTAAACTAAGGAAGTAGACGTAACAGATATACCGATAGCAGCACCATTTGTCCAGCGGCTTAACGGTATACCGATACCGTCCAATCAGGTGCCGGTATTGACTTAGTACCGGTTCTCGGTACCCATCCCTAGAGGAGAGAGAGTAGTAAGATGGGAATATGTGAATGAATGAGTGAAGACGGTCTCCCTGATTGAACTTGCGCTAAGCTTAATTTGTTACACATTTTTAATGCTTTTTTGTCCTGTCTCATTCATTGATAATGGATAATATTCAAACGCATTGGTTTGCAATTTCTTTCTTAAATCCCGGAAACGAGGTGGCTTATTATTTATGAATGGCCTAAGTGTCCTTCCTCCTGCTAAATAATGAATTGTGGATACTATCAGTTTGAACTGTCATGTGTTGTTAAATCAGCTCCATCTCTTTCATTTCCACCTAAAATGACACGTTACATTTTATTTCTGAGGGGGAGTGATAGAATGTTTATTTCACAGTGCCAATGACAATGGAACGGCTCAAAGTTGTTAAATCTTTCTGTTTCATTACCTACCTTGTCTTAATGGACCAGGCAGAAAAGCTCCAGAGGTATATCTTGATTTGTATTGCTTGATAAAAAGGAACTTCTAAGCCACTTGAAATTGAATTAGTATGGTGATATAAAGATGTCTTTGGTTGGTAGTGTTTTTATCACCTGGCTGTAGCAAAGCATAGCTGCTTGTCGCCATTATTTAGAATCAGAAACGGGTTTATTACCAGGTAGGTTTACACGTACGAGGAATTATACTATATATGGTCTGAATTGTTTTAAATATAGTCTGATAAGCACTTCTGGCAGATGTCCTCTCTATGGCAACAGCCAGTAAACTGCTGGGGCACAGCAGTTATAGCACCGTTTGACATACTTAAGACATGGAAAAATAAGTGGTTGCTCAAATGAGGCAGAAACGGTTTCAATAATGGCTGTAATGTAGAATGATTTGAAATACTAAGGTTGTTTGAGTAAGAGTGCAGTTATCATTTAAAGTAAACGGATGCCAAACTGCAACTTTTAAAGAGGGATTTTGGTACTTTTTCATATACTTGTTTTGCTTACCTTCTTAGGCCCCGGCCCCACGAGGACGCATACGGCTAAACGCATAGGATTAACGCAATCGCAAAAAAGCTTCCGTCCACACGCATTATTCACCGGATAGTATCTGTCCACACGAGACAGCTCCGTTTTGCTCCAACCGCTGGAAAAAGCAGCAGTACATATGCCGAGCCTGTATGTGGCGCTGTAACTTCCTCCACAAAAGCAGCGAAGAAGCATGGTTGTCATGGTTGCCCTTCTGTTTATTCTCCGCGGTGGGGGCAGAGGGAACTGGGCAGTTTTTCGCCAGTCAACGTGTGTTAAAGTTTAAATCTTCCGGAAAAAATTAGAAAAGTGCCGGTCAAAGGTCTTCTTTGCTATTTATTGAGCTTTAAAACAAATGAATAACGACTCTATATAATATAATAATAAAATACATGGAGCCTCTCTTTTTCCTCCCTCTCTTCTGACAGCGTCAG